CATATATTTGTGACAAATACATATGGGATATAATATAATCAACAGCTTAAAACAACACCGCCCCCGCATCGAACCTGTGACCTCCACTATCGGTATATCAGCAGCTAAATATAGACGTTTTGGTTGAAAAGTTAAAAAATTGTCTCGACACAGGCTACGTTGAGTAACTCGAGATTCATTAAAGCGAAATATACCGTATTACAAGTGAATAGTGGCGATTATAATGGATACGAGGTTGGTATTTATGACGTTTTGTTTCTGTAGCCAGTCAATGCAGCCTTCACAGGTTTTCTCGCAATGAGCTTGTGATGAATAAGGCTGTATGCATAAAGGGGCGTTTTATATATGTTAGGTTTTAATCGCTAATGTTAAAAATTATATATAGCTTGTTAGTATCGTCGAAAGAGACGTAATTCAGGATGATAGTAATTCCCTTACGAATATATTTTTGAAATTAAATAATTATTCGGATATTGTATGTTCATTTTGTGTACACATAAAATTAACTAGCTTAGTCAGCGATTGTTATTTTAGGCACCTAAATTTGTTTTGCAAACCTGCTGTTCAACTCTATTACTTTGAGGTGTTAGACAGGACGTCGTCCGCATCAAGTCGTGTTAGTAAGTGAGTAACTTTCCCCGTTTTTTCCACATTTCCCGCTGTTTCTTAGCTCCTATTAATTGCGGCGAGATGTTTTATAGCCTTCCTCAGTATACGCTCTTCCAAAACAAAAAATAATCTTTAGGAACTATTTCTTGAGATTAGCGCTTTGGACGTTTCGACATCAAATTCCTCGAGGTAAGGCTCTTCCTTACACTTTTAATAGTTTAAAACGGAAAACATATACGTCAAAAAGACGTTGTTAAATAAAAATTAAGTAATATATTTCGTGTTTTAAACCGTTCACAATTATTTATTTATTTACATGCATATGACACGTGTTTTGCATGTGCTGTTAATTTTAGATTATTGTAATTCGTTATAATGTATGCTCGTCGTATGCTTACCTTAACGTCTATATTAATAATCATTAATGTTACCAAGAATACGATAAAAACACAAATAAGAAACATTACTTTAAATCATTTTATTATAACACTTTTATATTAAATTTTCCTTTTTTCCCAATCAAAAACTTGATTGTCAATACCAGTGTGATGAAACCCTTACCAATCACGCACACAACGCGTTAAGTCAGTCCAGCCGTGGATTGCGCGCGCGGCGAGTGTGCGCGCCGTTCGATATTCAAAAAGTGCTGCCATATTTGATCAGCTGTCAACAAGGATATAGTTTATGGTTTCTGTGAGTATTTTGTATCTGTATTCTTAAACAGTGAAAACTTTTTGGAACAAGGTTGTTACCTTGTAGTTTTGGTAAATAGAACCTTTTTCTGTGACAGATATATGTCAATGTTACGTTTGACAGTTCAAATGACGTTATGCGCTAAAACGAACGTCAAGGAAAAGCTTCAAGAAATCTATTGTTTATTTTTTACGTTTTCAATCCGATTTTAACGTCTAGCTTTTTCAATAAAAATTTAATAATTTTGACCATTAGTGCCGATCAAAAATCTTATTCATTAGTTTCTTAAAATAAAAAATATACTTTTTTATTAGATATATAAACTAAACTTAGAGACATAGCTCACTACTTACACTACACTAATTTACCAACTTCATAATTTTATAACATTGATGAAAAAAAATAGTTATTTTGAACCTTGATTATTTATCATAAGAAAGAAACAACTCGCCTGCTGTTATCATAAGATGTATGCTTATAAAATAAAAAAAAAAAAAAAAAAAAACAACTCGCCCTTTTTTATTATTCTTTTAAAAATATATAGATGTTTAAATTTAGATGTAACATGGCTGAGTGGCCATGTAACGTATTTTCAAGTTAGCCCCAAGCTTCTCTGTTCTTTATCATAATAGCCAGTTCATATAGAAGAAAAAAAATGTTATAGTTGTATATTATAAAACACATTTGTTCCAGCCCTATTTTCGTGTGTGAGTACGTTCGTTTAGGAGCGCAATAAAGTCTCCCAGTACGTGAAACACTACCATTTAAGGCTTAATTAAAAGGAGGCTTATATCACAGATACAATTATTAGGGTTGCTAAAGCTAGGTAAATGGCTTATGATTTTTTTTTCATTGATTATAAGCTACTTACCGATGCTTTTAGTAGCTTATAAGCTGAAAGTAGATTACTTTCGTCATTCAGTGTACTCGCGCTAAGTTCGTCTTGGGTTGGAACCTCGAGATAACAAATTTGCTTCGATCATCGAAAGCCTAAAAGGTTGACAATTTACAACGATGAGAAATCAATGCTAATTACCTATGTTGACTGAAATTAAGTATATTTAAATAAAAATGCAAAATCAATTGGGCGATAAAAAAGCACTAAAAAATATTGTAATAAGTTTTTTGCTAAAAAATATAAATAACATTGCACGAACGAGACTCGCTCTGACAACATCCACATATTCCAAAGACACGAATGAAGTAGCAGTTTTCTCGACCAAGGGAACGAATCCTGGACCTACTAATTTATAGTGTGATAATTTTCTGTCGACTGTTTGTACCGAACAACTATGGCCGCGCTCGAAGACACGATCTCTTTGACGTCCCGAGAGGTCGCACCTCTCCTCGCGCGTTATCGCCGTTACCACGAATTTTAACCTCACTCAACGCTCTCGTCAAGTTAAGACCCAAATGTGACCTTTTCGCAGATCCAATGTTCAACACTGAAAGAAATATCTGATTTTGTAATTTTGCTTAATGTAATTGATACATAACCTATTTTTAGGTGTAATTCTATTGTGTACTTCTATCCAATTATTGTAAGTGGCTATTTCCGTTTTAATTGTTTATAATAATAAATAAATACCACAGCTTTAGCAATAAATAGCCAGATCTGAAACTTTAATATTTAAAATAAGAAGAAAATTATTTTCGTCTATACTTACATTGTAAAGTGCAAAATATCTGCAAACTACTGGTTCGAAATGATTATTTTTGTATTGGCTAGTCCATTTATAGAGTAAGCTTTAGGCTATAGAACACGCTGTAATCAAAAGAACTAACAAATAGTGGAAAATTGGGTAAACGAGGAAAATTACAATCATCATCATTGAGGGTTTCCTTTGCGTGTGCTGCGAAAAGGTTAGAGAAACTAAAAAAAATGTATGAAAGAATGATTCCTCTTTAAAAGACCTAGAAATGTCCGTGACAGTGCATGTCTATCGTTTAAGATTAACTCGTAAGGACCATTTTTATGGTAATCAGGTAATCAAGTCGAAATGCATTATCAATTATTTCTTTAGTTCTATCAACATAATAATATATATATATTACAAATTAATAAAAGTGATAATAATTTGACAACTAGTTATTTATATTAAGGAAGCGAATATCCGTGGGAATAACTATACACTGCTTAACGCCAATCTAAAAGTTATATCTAGAGCAATTTGATTCCATACATTTTATTAACATACTATGCATATAATTTTCACTAATGAGTTAAGAGAAACATGATTTTGAACGCGAAATCGACAAATTATGTAAAAACCCCTTTTACTTATCAATTAAAAACAGATGTATCTTAGATATTATAGATAAGAATTGAATTTTAATTACCTTTTTTAATTTACAAACATTTATAAGAAATCCTTACTTATTTAAATGTGCTTAGAGACTAACATAATTATAAAAAACACAATTGAAAAGAAGTTATTTGTTACGATGGACAAACAACGAAAAAAATGAAGTGAGAGATTGGGGTTTCAATACCAGGGAAAATAAAACCGTTTCGGTCGAGCAGGACACAGAAATCTGATCGATTGTGAACATAATTAAAATATAAATGTTACCGTGAGGTTTAATCGGTTTCAGTATGGATTTCCGAATATCCAAAGTAAAAATAAGTCGTCAGCAAACCTTGTTAGATGTTGTATGAAATACGTGTACTGTGGTTTACTTAGTCAATAGCAATGTATCAACGAGTCTTAGTCTGTGGATCCGAATATCCGAATATCCAAAATAGGACGACAGCGCATCAGCTTGAGATGTTATTGGGAATATATGGCCGGGGAATTCCCATAAAGTTAATCTCATGCTTGTCTGTCCCCCTCTTTTTTTTCTTTGTCCCCCCTGTTTTTCCAAAATAGTTATACATTTAACGGACGCAGTTATAAGTCTGTCCGAACTCAACAGACTATTTTAATTACCAGGGCACTATAAAGGCACAGTAGCTAGCTGTAAACCTCGCGGTTGCGTTTACGTTTTTTAAACGTGATCAAGTTACGTTTATAAAAAGACAATGTATGTTCGCCCGAGTTGTGCCTCGCGGAGCGTGTCGGTTCGATTCCCGACCAACATGGGGCATTCATCAAATTAATTAAGCGTTCATAGATAAATATTTTAAATTGCTTTTATTGGGATGTATTTTATTTTAACTTAGTATTGGAATGGACCTAGTTCTTAATTTGCTGTCATATCGGCGACAAAAATACATGATTGAAACAAAACACTTTCAACTGTTTAAAACGCTAAATGATGCAGTTTAACAGCTGCTTGACGTTTGGGACGCTTTGAACAGTCAATGATGGCTGTCATCCGAAATGCCTTGGCGTAGTTAAATTAGTAAACAAGATAAATAATACATTTCTCAAAATATTTTATAATTATATTAATAGAATCCCGTTCTCACCCATGGGAAAAACAAGTTTCTTCTGGAACTGACAGTTAGTTAATCAGGCTCTCTGTCGGATTGAGTGACCTTGGAATTCGAACCCAGGCCCTAACCGCAGTCCGCATCACGATAAACCACTAAGCCATGTTTGTCTAAACGTAGTTAATTCATTATAAAATTAAGACTTTCTTTTACATTTAAGAACCAAGAGCTAGTCTTGTTAATTGATATGTTTTAATTTGTTGACAGGTAAATAAACAAAATGGCGATCTACAAACTTATTCTGTGCTTAAGTTTTGTTCACATGGCTGTCGCTAAGGGTAAGTGTTGAGGGAGTAGATGTTTCTAATTCAGTAGGGGGAGTTTCTTTGATATTTCCCAATGGTTCTTTTCTTTGATCATCATCAGATCCGTCCTCTTCAAAGGCACTTCTCTAATATGTTAGCAAAATATTTTCTTAAATTTGTAGCAATTTATTTGGAACTAACAGGAAAATTTATAATAGCTAGTTAGTCCCAAATAGAATAAAATTCTTCTTATTCATATGATCCTATTCAGTAGAGATGTCTTTACATGTGCACTTGATAAAAAAATCCCAAACTTGTTCACCACTTTTTGAGAAATACTTATTCCTTATGTCCGTTTTATGTCCGCTGTGGCAAAGTTCCAGCAGATATGAAGATTTTGACGGAAAATTTAAAAGTCACTGATATATTCTTTGATATGGGATGGAATGAAATTAAATATTAAAGCGTTTGGTGAAAGGCTAACTGAAGAAAAACGTTAAAATTTAAAAAGTGATATTTTCCCCTTTATCTGGCAGATAGATATTACATGGCATTTAAATATTGTCTAGAAAATAAGACTCCTTGATTGCTTAAACAAGTATTTATTTTTAATAATTTTCTTCCCTCTAATTCGTCACATCGCGATGTTTTATATGCTATTCTTGAGATTAGCGCGTTCTGACAAACAAACTATTCTGCTTTATACATTAGTATAGAGTTGTTTATTTGCATGTCAGTAGGTCTGTATGTTTTGGAAAGCAGAGCGTGTAATTTTTATTACCACGTTTTGATAGCATAAGTCGTTACGATTGCGGTTTTATGGTGAATCTACTGAATTACTTCATAAACAAGAAACCACATTAGCGTTTTTTGAGCGTCATACCAGCGTTTAGGCGGCGACGCGACGCCTGCCTACAAACACTTCTGATTTGAGAAAACTAGATAAAGGAGAAAATATACGTGACCGGTAATATTAGGGAGATGCCCTTTAAAGTTCTTGAGTTCGAAACCACTATTTCCTTTTGTAAACATAAAAATATTTTAAATAAAACACCTTAACGGTTTAAAACGCGACATATATTATATAGTAATAGTTAAACGTATTTGAACGTGCGGCCGTGATCATGGGGAGACCACGTAACCACGACTGCTGCCAGGCGTCCGAAACATCGGGCCGTAGTTTACATAATTAAGTTAAACAAATATATATCGCGTATAATCATTAAAGTGTTTTATTTACACACAGACAGTTTGTTTAAGTATATCAAAACGAACATTTGTCGATATATTACTGAACTAATCTCAAACAATCTAGAATATCAAGTTAGTAATCTGAAGATTATCGAACTTGACAGATTTTTTTGCAAAAAACGTATCGGCGGTGGCGTCGCCACAGTGCATTGCTGCCGCGACCTCGGCATTCGAAAAACGCTAGTGTGGGCGGTTTCTTAATAGCCGTAGGTACAAACTACAAATAACATACAATTCAAAACTATTGACTCATTTCAAATAAGTAATATGCCCATTTTTTTGACACAAAAACCAATATACAATTAAAAAACCTTTTTTAATCTTATCATAATATATAATAATATATAACAAATAATGTAATCGAGACACATAGACTAATTTTAACTAAAATTAATAATACATAAAAAGTTTACAATATTAAGAGTAAATCAATACCAATAAATACTTGCAGGCAATAAAATTAGAAAAGAAGATAAGATACGATAGGCGAAGCTGATAAAATTAAGAATGCCTCTTCAATGACAATTCCTATGAAAAACTCTAGGTTTTCCTTTGTGGGTGAAATTGCGGGTAAAACCAGCAAAGTAGGCTCTTATTAATTGTAATTGTGGTGTGAATGTCTTATATGCGCCCACGCCTGTCTTTTTTACCAGGGCGGGGAGTGTGAGAAATCGAACTTGTGACTTTTGGTAAGCCAGTGCGTCATATCACAAAGCACAGTACTGCTACGTTGAATCTTGGGAACCTCCCTAGGCACATATGCTATTTCAATTGGTGGTGTGAATGGCTTGTGCCCCCCCACGTCGGAAGGGCTCGTTGGTGGTATGAGACGGGGGTTCGACCCCCACGGGGTCCAACATTTTTCCACGTTTGTCAAAAATCTATCCAAGGTCAAAAATAGGTCGACAGCAGATATTGTTTAGATGGTATATGGTTGGGGTATTACACTTACCATCAAATGAAATGCTTCAGTGTGTTGTAGATGTTTAGATGGGAAAACATGTTTATACAGAACCAAGTCTCCCAGTGTCTAGGCAAATCAATACAAGAGTCATCGACGCTCGTTTTAATATTTTTTGCGTGTGATTCACATAACGGTGTCGGGTCGTTGGCGTTGCTTTTTATAGCACTTAATAAGGAATCGCTTCGATCCTTGACGAATGGGAGATGTCATTATTATCGGAAGCATTTATTTTACTGTTTTCTGTGTGTTTGAATTATTACTATTTTTCTTAACTAGCCGTGATAGCGACTTTGGCCGCGTACAATATTTGTTTTGGGCATAAATATTTGTTTTTGAAAACTTCTTATCATTTCTGTTGACTGTTCGTCCATCGCGTCCCGTCGTTATTGCAAGCAAACTTAAAGTTTGTAGCTTAAGCTTTAAGCTTAGCATAGGCTATATATTATGAAGGCTATAGATCCTTCTTTATTACATGATCTAACAACACAAAATACATTTTTAAATTCGAACCAATAGTGCCTGAGATTAGCGCGTTCAAACAAACAAACATACTAACTTTTGAAAACTTCAATATGTTTCACATGTTTGTATAGCACATGAAGGCGCTTTATAATTTAAAAAACCGAAAATAAATTGGATAATAATTTTCGACTCGGGCAGGACTTGAACCGGCATCGTCAGCGCACCTAACGCTAATCAATGTTAAACGATAATACATTTTTAAATTATATAGAAGAAAATAAATTTTTAAATTTGAACCAATAGTTCCTAAGATTAGCGCGTTCAAACGAACAATTGAAAAAAATTTTGGCAAATTTTCAGCGTTTCGTTCAAGCCAGTTCAAGTCGTGTCCGAATCGATTTTTAAAACATACTAACGTTTCAGCTTTATAATATATTAGTATAAATTAATTTCATTTACCATCTAGCACATTTTAACCTAGCGATACAATCTATCCCCTGTCCCGATTTGAACCCAAAACCACTTTGACGCAATTATTGTTTTAGAACCGAACCACGAAGATGGTTAGACCTTGCTTTATTATAAACACAGGTTAAAACCAAAGTAACATAAGCAGTGAAGGCTGTAAAACCATAAGTAATTTTAGACATCTAAATACCTTATTACATGTCAAGGAATCGAATTAATACATTAACTCAAGTTGATAAAAACTTATTATTTACTGTTTACGCGAGTTTACAGGGAGATGAAACACTTTAATGGTTTAAAACGCGAAATATATAATTATATATTAGTTTTATTCGTTGCGTTCGATTCCCACCAGACATCAAATGTTTCTAAAATCATTTATATATTTTTTGTAACATGTGAGATCTATAAAATCTGGAATATAAATGGGTCCCGAACCGAGATGAAAATACTGTAAATTTTATTCAGCAATCTGTGGATCTCCCAAGGTTCAAAGCCAGAGTAGCTCAGCAGCATCATGGATAGATGGAGGATTTCATGGTCGCGTTACGACGCATTACGTTACGCTGCGAAAGTTATATCTTCTAAACTACCTCACGATAGTAATAATTCTTTGTAACTTTTATACGTCCAAAAGAATATAGAATCAACTATAATCTATAAGTTGCAAAGGCTTTTAATCACAGCGTATAAACAGATTATAAATAATATGGTACCGTATAGACGTCATTTGTAAAGATGGACATTGACTGACGGAGCTTATAATCCAGCGGTGCATTAAAATATCTGTGGTAAGCTTCTTAAGGATGACTTGTGTTAGAGATCAAAGTAAACGCACACATACACAAACGCAAACTTAACTAGATTATAATTTTATTTTTAAATAGAAATATAAGTATAGTAGGTACTAACATCCATTTTAATTAAAATTATGATCGGGACTGTTTTATTGTATACTAGCTGGTGCCCGCGACTTCGTCTACGCAGAATGATCTCTATCATATCATACATTACATAATTATGTGTAACTAACGTTTATGGCAGCGCACGCCTGAATAGCTCGCAGAAAGGTAGGTTTTTTCCTATCTGCTTGACACTTAATGTCATATTTTGGACAGCTCACACAATATCTTTATAAATTGTAGCCTATGTGTTATTCTGATGTATAAGCTATATTATTGGAAAGTTTAATTGAAATCCATTCAGTAGTTTTTGCGTGAAAGAGAAACAAACATACAAACTTTCACGTTTATGATATTGGTAGGATTGTCTGTAGTTTACGCGAACACATAACGGTTAATTGACGGTTTAAAAACACATAAATTCGTTTATTTATTTAAAAACAATTTAACTACGGCCTTTCGTTTCGGATGATTTATAGCCGTCGTCACGGTTGAGTTTAACTAATACATTTCTCGTTAAGAACCGTTCAACGTGTTTTATTTCAAGGTGTGGCAGAATTAAACGACTCTGGCGCTTTTCATTTAGTTTTAAAAAACCTCCTTAAATTAGATCGAAATTGATTCCTTTTTTGGAATTATTACAATGAGTGTGCACACTTGATCGCCTCTGTATCCAAATGGTTAAACGCTTTGCCTTGCATTACGTTAAGCGCGAGAGGTCCTGGATTCGAATCCCAGGGAAACAAAAAATTGTTTTTATCAGGTAGGGCACAGAAGTCTGAATAATTACTTGCCTGTTAAAGAACGGATCATTGAAACGGACACAGAAATGTGGTCGCCCCATGCCCCACGAGGTGGAAACGGGATCACTTTTTATGCACACTTACAATTCAACTCTGCTGCAACCAGTACAAATCGATAACACGTGAAAATTCAGTTTCGACCATACCGTATTCTGTCATGCTTTAATTAAATTAAACTTTGAG